ATTGAGGGGAATGTGTGCCCCCCTGTTTGTTCAGATAGAAGACAACAGTTGTGTTGTCCGTCAATATCTGAACGACCTGGCCGAGAATGAGTCTTTCGAATGACTTTAGCGCTCTTTCTACGGCCAGCAGCTCTAGCACGTTTATGTGAAGAGCGCTTTCTTCCAGGGACCATTTCCCGTGAGCGACTAGCCCCTGTGAATGGGCACCCCACCCCGTCWGAGAGGAGTCCGTCGTGACTATTCTGGTGGGGTAAGGGAGCTGGAAGGGGAGGCCCGAACAGACAAATTGGGGTTGCAGCCACCATACTAGGGACATACGGACTTCCTCGGGCAGTATAAACTTGAGCCGAGGGCAATCCCTGAGTGGGTTGAAAACTGACCCAAACCATGATTGAAGGGGGCGCAAGCGCAAACGAGCGAAGGGAGTTACCGCAGTCGTGGAAGCCATATGCCCCAAGAGTGTCTGAACCTGTTTGGCCGACACTCTGGTAGACTCCAGGGCCGATCTCACCTGCGCCTGTAGGTTGGCAAAACGCTCCGGCGGGAGGTAGGCTCTGCGCGTCGTTGAATCGAGGAATGCGCCAATAAACAGGATACCGCGGGTAGGTTTCAGGGAGGATTTCTCCACGTTGACGATCAGGCCCAAGAATTGGAGGAGACACCAGGTAGTATAGACCTGTTTTTGAAGCTGGGAGGCTGATTTTCCAATAATAATCCAATCGTCAATGTATGGGAACACGACTATCCCCTGGGTTCGTAAGTGTGCTACCACCACCGCCATACACTTTGTGAACACTCTTGGGGCAGTACTAAGTCCAAAGGGGAGGACRTTGTACTGGAAAGCCCTGTTGCCTACCATGAATGTCAAGAACCTGCGGTGGTGAGGTGCAATTGACAAGTGGAAATAGGCATCTCGTAGGTCTATGGTAGCGAACCATGCACCCTCTGGTATGAGAGGCATGATGGATGAAAGCGTCACCATACGAAATTTCTTTGATAAAATTGTTTTATTGAGATCCCTTAAATCCAAAATGGCTCTGAAACCGCCTCCCCTTTTYGTAACTACAAAGTATCTTGAGAAAAAACATGACGAGAAATCTGAAACCGAAACTGGTGAAATGGCACCCTTCTCCAAGAGGGTATTGATCTCACTGAGTAGAGCYTCTGAGGGGCTTGTACTCTTAACTTTTCCCACTTGAGGGATATTCTGGAACTCAATGGTGTAACCGTTTTGGATGATTGCAAGCACCCACTTGTCCGTGGTGATGCTGGCCCAATTTTTATAAAAAGGTTGCAACCTGTTACCATAATTGGGGAGGTTCGCTTCAGGAGGAATCATAAACTCAGGGGGTGTAAACCAGGCGATGGGAGCCCCCTCCTGTTCCTGGGAACTTGACTCAACAGGGGCGTCAAAGACGCTTTCTGGAGGAGCCCTGGTTCTTTGATCTGACCTGATACGGCTGATACCTGGATTTCGATGAGTAGGAGCCTCGTTTGTTTGTCTGAAACCTGGGGGACTGGGGGCCCCTACCCCTGCCTGATCCCGAGAAGGGATTATTAAAATTCTTGCGGTATTGGCCGGAGGGACCTTGCCATTTAGAGCGGCCTTGGTTATAAGGCTGCCAGGTATAGCCAAACTTACCCGCAGCTTGTCGGACCTCTTGTTTCTCTTTTAGGGTTGCATCCGTTTCTGGGTTGAAAAGGCCCCCCTCGTGCAGAGGGAGGTCCTCTGCTAGGGCTTTGCCCTCTTCAGACAAATTGGCCGTGCGAAGCCATGCATGCCTACGGATAGATGTCGCCGTAGCGAACATGTGGCCAGCCGACTCCGCAAGGTGCTTTGCAAAGTCCTTTTGGACCTTTGATAGTATTAGGGCCTCTTCTTGTAAAGCCTTTGGAAACCTTTGTTCCTCGGGCGGGAGTTTATCCAAATAGGGGCGTATTTTTGTCCAAAGGAAGGTTTGGTAACCGGACATGTAAGTGGCATAATGAGCCATCCTAGTCACCAATCCTGCCGCTAAGTGAGCCTTCTTGCCCAGAAGATCTACTTTCTTGCCCTCTTTATCGGGAGGGGCCGAAAGGGTGCTTTTTGGCTTCTTTGCCTTCACCACTTCGGCCACTACCGTATTAGGCCTAGGTGGGTTGGCCACCCACTTGGCTGCCGAGAGGTCGATTTTGTATAGGGAGTCGACCCTTTTCGGCGTGGCCGGCACCGTGGTCGGGGGAGCGTCCAGAATCTTGGCCAGTTTTAGTAGGTAGGGGAGCATTGGAAGTGATGTAGGGGTCGGGGTGGCCTGCTCCTCCGACGGGAACATCGGGTCCTCGACATGCTCCTGCGCCTTTGGCGCCGGTATGTCGAGGGCCTTGATCATTCTGTCTATTAATGAGGCGAATTTGTTGTAGTCTGGTGGCAAAGGCGTATTATCAGTGCTCTCCCTAGTGTGATGAGGATCGGAAGGTTCAGCTGAGGAATCCGAGTCCTCAGGTTCTAAGGTGGGCTGATCCTCAGAAGGCAGAGTCAGCTCCTGAGTCACCTGAGGGGTGCTAGGTGGTACAGGAGGGTTAGTAGGCGTAGGGTTAGGAACCTCAACGTTTGACAAATCATCAGCTATTAAACGTTCAGCACATATACTCCGGTCAATACAGGCAGAGTTTTGCTCAGCAACACAAATTTGAGTAGAGTTTAATTGCCCCTGTCTCCCTACAGGGGGAGCAGTCACTGATGTCGATGCCGAAGGTGTAGGGGGAAAAACCGTGGTTGCAGTCCCACATCCCCTCTGCTGAATGCCCTGGATCATGTCCATGCTGGCAAAGGGGGCAAAGGGCTGAGCTGTAGCCTGAGTGTACATAAAATGCCCTGCAGGGCCCATGTTCCAAGGGCCTGCAAAAGGGTACGGGCCAGGGCCATAGGGCCCCCACTGGGGCACTGTAGGTTGGAGTCTCTGGCCCCGCCGGGACCGTCTGGAACTCCTAGCTGTGGAGGCGGAACGGACGGATCCATGAGAGGATGAGGAGGAGGAGGAGGAGGAGGAGGAAGATGAATCACTTGAGGAGGAGGATGGCGAGCCCGCCCTGGATCCTCCCCTCGATGGCCGTCGACGTCGGGGTTCACCGCGCCTCCTGCTGCGTCGTGAGGGCGATCGGGATCTCCTCCTCCTACTACCCCCGCGCTTCTCCTTGTGCTTCCTGGGCGCCGGTGCCGTGGGGACGACAAAGGCAGGCTCCTGGTCGGCGTCGGGAGAGGCTCTGCTGACATCAATGCCCCCTGCTCCGCCCTCCTGACGGGAGGGGCGAGTGGCTCCCATCCGGAAGCCGCGCCCTCCGGGGAGGGAGGTATCTCGGAGTCGAGGAGGTGGAGCTCAGCCGAGCTCGGCAGGTCGATGCCTGCAGGAAGCTGGGACACCTCAGCATATGATTCCCTTGCCAGCGTGGGAGGAGACCGGGTCGGGGCCGGAGATTCAGCCGATGCCGGTGAGGGGAGCGTCTGCCTGGGGGAGGGTCGGGTTCCCTGCGTCATCCCATCGGTTGGTAGAGGGCTCCTTCCCGACGCCGCTGAGGGGACAGTAGGAGCCTTTCCCGCCCTTTTTTCAGAAGCCTTTTCCTGAGTGGGCGAGGCGCGGCCATCTTTTTTGGCTTTTTCCCCCTGCTTCTTAGCTTTCTTTTTAGGGGCTGCAGAGTCCGGCCTGGCTGTAAGCAGCGGAGCGGCCCTCTCCCCCGAAGAACGGGGATTCGGCAGGTCAGGCATCAAGGCCTTTTCATAAAGGGCCGCTTTCAATCTGAGTTCTCTGCTTTTCCTCGTTTGTGGCGTAAAAGCCGCACAAACAGCGCAGGACTGGGAGAGGTGCCCCTCTCCCAGGCAAGTTAGGCAGAGGCTATGCCCATCCGCGTCGGGGAGTACATTGGGGCAAGCAGAGCACCTCTTAAAGGAGGTGGTAGCCATCTTGCCAGCCAACAGGAAAGCGACCCAGGGACGAGGCGAGAGAGAATCCTTGAGCAGTCCGGGTCGAGGGGGATCAGAGTACCTTACAAAGTCCAATTAGCAATCCGAGTCAAAACCAGAAGATCAATCTAGAGGTTCTCTATAGCTGTTAACTGCTAACGGCGGAAAAAAGAGGATGGAGGGCGGGCTCCACGAGGGCCTTATATACTTGAGGAGGGGGAGGTGGAGCCACGAGGGGGATACATTTGTTTGAGTTTTCTAGAAGGTTCCGAAGCTGGCCTGCGCTGGCGCAGGAATACCACAATGTGTGATTCACAGTTAACTACGACAGGAAATAATAACAATAACAAGACAATATTAGGATTTACAGATCGAACGGCAAAGACCCTGGCACAAGCCAGTCAAGGTAGTTCAATTGGTGATCGGCATACTGGGTGCAGTGCTTAAAGACCTTGGCCTGCACTTAAACACAATTGGCGCTGACAAAATTACCATTTGCCAGCTGCAGAAGGTACTGGGATCTGCACACATTATTCACTGATACATCACACAGTCCTAGACACTTGGGAAGTGTCCGACGTGTGATCCAATGCAACAGCCAGCAGAGTGATCTTGTCTGCTATGGACTCATCATGTTGTGTTAATAATAATAATAATAATAATAATAATAATAATAATAATAATAATAATGAGGATTTAAAGATCGAACTGCAAAGACTCTGGCACAAGCCAGTAAAGGTGGTCCCAGTGGTGATCGGCACACTGGGTGCAGTGCCTAAAGACATAGGCCTGCACTTAAACACAATTGTCGCTGACAAAATTACCAGCTGCAGAAGGCCACCTTACATGCATACATTACATCTGCATGCATTATTCACTGATATATCACACAGTCCTAGACACTTGGGAAGTGTCCAACTTGTGATCCAATTCAACAGTCGGCAGAGTGTCTGCTATGGGCTCATCTTGTTGTATTTCTAATAATAATAATAATAATAATAATAATAATAACAACAACAAAAACAACAACAACAACATCTGAATGCTTTCTTTTTGTCTGCAGGGTTCACAGTAAGAGTACATTGGGATTCTCCGAATACATGGCGGTGGAAGACTCGATCACTGTTTCATGGCCTGTTGTGAAGGTGTGAACATAAAACGCCTCCAGCGTTCGGTAATTAGGAACGCTGATTTGCTTATCACAGTAGAGCATTAAGCAAGCTAAAAAAAAACTATCAACATTTTAAACAACCAAATTGCCTTATTTTTCTTCCAAACTACATTATATGTCGATCAGGTGTAATAGGCTTGAAAAATGGATATCCTGTGGTGCTAAAAGAATAGCGGGAAGAAGAGGAGCTTTGTATAAATGTTTGTTTTTTTAAAAAATGCACAAAAAGGGGAATTTTAAAACATGTAACATCTGTTTATACATTGATTCTTTATTGCTGATTAATATGTATTGCACAAATATGTAATTGACTTACAAATCTGGGAGCTGGGATTTTCTGACGTATAGGAATTTCTGGGTGAGACATAGGCTGGCTTCACTCAGCTTATGCGGGGTGTTGGGGATGTTGGGGATGTTGCAGAAGGCGGTCTCTGTGTCACTGCTTCATGCAACAGCTGTCAAGGGCTTTCATTGGTTGACCCCTTTTGGCCTCTGGGCAGTTTGGAGCATTGCCCCCCCCCCCCCCCCGGGTAGAAGAAAACGACAGTAAGGGTATGCTAGTGTTCGCATAGGATCCCAGTCGTCATCTGCCCAGTGCCAACCAGTTACCAGAATGTGTGTCAAAGCAGATAGCATAGTGTATACTATATGTAGCAAGGTGGTTGTCTGGGAAGACTGCCCCATGCCCTCTTTCCCAATTCATTTATAACTTACTTGAGACGTGATCTCTTCCCAGTAGAAATGAAAGGCTTGTAGAACTGCCTGGGCCGTGCTTTTCAGTCCAGGAATAAATCCATTTAGTAGCATTGCATTATCCCAAAAAGAATGGTGCTTTTGTGGTGTCACCATTTTATTTTAAAAACTTTGGGTGGTTTCTTTTTGTCTCCAATGCTGCATATTTTAAAAGATTTTATTTGGCCATAAGACATCGTCTTTTTTTATGGTGGGGACAAACTTTGCACTTGCTGTAGGTGCAACATTTGCACTTTACTTTTTTTCCCTCCATCTTTTTTTTAAATACTTAACAGCAGATATGTTAGATTGATGGCTCTTTTTTTTTTGCTGTGAACATTTACGACATAGCTTTTCAATGTTACTAAGTAAAGAGTGTGTTTCTGTTGAAGAATCACAATATAAATTTCAGCACCTGACATGTCTGTCTCCATAATGTTGCTCCTATGATTTTGCACACTATATTCATGTATTATTACAAATAAATTTGTAAAACATATTGTTGTATATTTTACAAACATAAAATACTAAATACTGTTCTCTCTGTGATTACTTAACCGTGGGGATAACTGGGGGGGGGGGGGGGGGGGGGAAGCAAAAGACACAAAATTAATGAGTTCAGAATCAAAATATTGTACATGATTATTTTGTGTAGATTGTGTAGATTGAGAGATAAAATAACTTACAGTATATTCTGGTGTATAACACTACTTTTTAACCCAAGGAAATCTTCTCAAAAGTCAGGGGTCGTCTTATACACGGGAGTCGTCTTATACACGGGGTAGTCTTATACACCAGGAGTAGTCTTACAGAGCGGGTGCTGAAACTTCCAATCCGGATTGGGGAATCTGCGGTTGCTGCAGATCTAAGATCATCTGGGGAGGCCCTGCTCTCGATCCCGCCTGCTTCGCAGGCACATCTGGCGGGGACGAGAGACAGGGCCTTCTCTGTGGTAGCCCCCGGCTGTGGAACTCCCTCTCCAGAGATATTAGATCAGCCCCCTCTCTCCTGACTTTCCGAAAAAGAGTAAAAAGTTGGCTCTTCGAGCAAGCATTCGGAACTCCGGAGTAAACAGACAAACTAGAGTTGGAAATTGACCCAGGAACGGCCAAGACAATGTAACGGATGAAGATTTGAACAGAGGACATAGTTTATTTTTAAATTGTTATTATGCACTGTCGTTTATGTTTAATTGCACTTAATGTTCTTGCTTTATCAATGTATGTATTTTGTTTCGGCATCGAATTGTGCCGACTGTGTATACCGCCCTGAGTCGCCTTCGGGCTGAAATGGGCGGGATAGAAATAATGTAGATAAATAAATAAATATTGTGGGGGGAGCTAAAAAATGGCAGTGGCTGCGTATGCAGTGACTGTATGAAAGCATTAAGGGCGACACTGTACAAGTATGATAGAAGAAAATCCATTCATCCGGATTTGTGGATTTAATGCGGTCCCGATGGTGAGGTAAAGGGACGCCTCACTGGGAAGGTGTAAGTGAAGGGCGGAGTAAGCTGCAGGCGTCTGGGGCGTCCGGGATATGGAAAAAAGAGGTAGAGTGGCTCTGAGCCCAAAAAAACACAACTCTTTTACCTGTCTGGCCTGCCCTTGTATCCTATTACCGTTCCTCCTCCTCTGCCTCTCAGATCTCGCTCCTGAAGACTGCAGTGAGGTGATGCAGGTGCGCATGTGCGAGATCTATAAGACTACCCCTCTTCCAACACACACCAAATACAATTTTTAAAAGCATCAGATTTGATTTCAAAATGGTAATTTTCCTATTACCGTACCTCCTCCTCTGCCTCTCAGATCTCGCTCCTGAAGACTGCAGTGAAGCGGTGCAGGTGCGCATGTGCGAGATCTGAGAGGCAGAGAAGGAGGGACAGTAATAGGAAAATTACCATATTGAAATCAAATCTGATGCTTTTAATTTTTTTATTTGTTGGAAGAGGGGTAGTTTTATATGGAGAGTATTTGGTATATATATATATATATTTCAGTTAAAAATTGTATTTGGTGTGTGTTGGAAGAGGGGTAGTCTTATACGGCGAGTATATCCCAAACTCTATATTTTAACGGGGAAAGTTGGGGGTCGTCTTATACGCCCAGTCGTCTCATATGCGCTACATTTTTCTATGACACAAAATTGATGAGTTCAGAATCAAGCTATTGTACATGACTCTTTATTATGTATAGATTGATAGATAAAATAAGTTAGTTTAAAGCTGTAGAACTGTTGCCGAAAAGAATCCCAGTCCCGTTCACATGGAAATCCTGTCAAGATTGTTTAAAATTTAATCAAAATGCAGAAAAAAAAGCCTTTTGACACAAAATTTCTAAAATCAAAAAAAGATCATCAAAGCTTTATACCAGAAAAGAACATAGTGTGTATTCAGTCATGAAAAGAATTTATGGTAGATTTTTGAGAGAAAGCTGGAGAGAGATATGTCCACCTACGTTCTGAAGAGTTGCCCTAGCATTGCCATTCGTTGTCTGTATCATTGGATCCCAAAGGTCTTCCATGAAGCATTTCACTGGAGAGTGGAGAGTGCTTTCTGCAGCAGTTGTATCATTATGGGATAGACTGGTGCAAACTCCTTTCCTTCTCTACTTTTTACTGACTGAACATAAGCTTCCAGGGCACCTCTGTTAAAAGGGGAAAAAACATTTAATAATTAGATGTTTGTATAGTACCTATTGTGCAATGTGTTTTAATAGGCTTATATTAACTTACTGCTAAGAACTCAGCCATAGCCTCATTTGCAAGAACAAAGACATCCAACACCACGCTATTGAATACCGATAGTTAGTCAGGCACAGTTTAAGTGTAGAAACTTGAGAATATTTATAGGTGATCCTGAATAAGTGAGAGCACTTTCCTTGTGGTTGGCTCCAGATTCTCCAGACTAAAATGGTTTGACATTGTTTTGGGAAGGGTTGAATGCATATCCCTTGCCCAGGTTACCTACTCAGTGCCCCACTGCTCACAACTGAGTCCTATGCAGACATCCCCCCGCAACATGCGAGGACCACACTTGTCATATAGCACCATGTAACAAAATTTGAAAAAAATGTTCCTGGTTTGAAAGTGTTATTTCCTGTTTAATTGTGTGGTACTTACTTTGAAAACAGTTGTTCAACTCCAGAAACTTCGTGTTTGTGGTTGCCACAAACTATGTTGAATTGGTTGAGACTCAATAAGATGGAAAAACTACAGCAAAATGTGCTGCAGGATGTCCCGCAAAAAACAAGTTTTGGCAGATTAACATGCCGTTTTCATGTTTCTATGATAGAACCGATTAGGAAATGACATTTTTAACCCAAGAACAAAAATCATGTTAGATAGTGTAATTAACCAGCGTGGCTTAGGGGATATGCCATTGCACATAGGCATAGGAAATGCTAGTCACAGACTGGTACTTGGGCAGTGGATACGGACTCAGTTGTTCTACCTCAATATCTGAGGCAGTTGAGTAGTTCGGCAGCTGTATCCAAGACTGAGCAGCCCTTTTGAGGATCCACTCTGCTCACCCCACACAGGGAAGGGTTTGGAAAAGGTGCCCTAAACATAGTCTGCCTCTCTTATCCCTGACTGGACTGCCGTGTACAGTGGGGTCACCACCCTGCAGCCAAAAAAGGAAATGAACTTCGGAACATGGAACATACTAATGGACAACACTGATGGTGAACGCCCCGATGGAGAACTGCCATCAATGCAAGGGAACTAGGACACTTTAAAACTGACATAGTAGCACTTCATGAGATACTTAAGCAGAGATACAGCTTAATGGTGTAACATTAGAGCTACCTTGGCAGCCACCTCTCCACCAAAGTCAACATTGACACTGAAATACAACACTGCCTGAGCTCTTCGAGCGTAGCATTTTTCCGAATGAAGCAGAGAGTGTTTGAGGACCGGAACATCCATAGGGATACCAAGGTACTTGTTTATAAAGCTATTGTCCTCCCAACCCTGCTTTATGCCTGCAAAATGTGTACTGTCTACAGACTTCACATGCAACTCCTGGAATGATTCCTTCAGCACTGCGTCCGGAAAATCCTGCAAATCTCTCGGGAAGACAAGCGGACAAATGTAAACGTGCTGGAAGAAGCAAAGACCACCAGCATTGAAGTGATGGTCCTCCGCCATCAACTCCGCTGGACTAGCCACGCTGTCCGAATACCCGACCACCATCTCCCAAAGCAGTTGCTCTACTCCGAACTCAAGAACGGAAAACGGAATGTAGGTGGGCAGGAAAAGAGATTTAAAGATGGGCTCAAAGCCAACCTTAAAAACTCTGGCATAGTCATTGAGAACTGGGAAGCCCTGGCCCTTGAGCGCTCCAGCTGGAGGTCAGCTGTGACCAGCAGTGCTGCAGAATTTGAAGAGGCACAAATGGAGGGTGAAAGAGATAAATGTGCCAAGAGGAAGGTGCGTCAAGCCAACCCCGACCGGGACCGCCTTCCACCTGGAAACCAATGCCCTCACTGTGGAAGAAGATGCAGATCAAGAGTAGGGCTCCACAGTCACCTACGGACCCACTGCACACTGCACACTGACCCTGGAAGGCCATCCTACTCAAACAACGAGGGATCGCCTAAGTAAGTAAGTAAGGCAATGCAGATTCTAGTCCAGACATTTCATGTCAGTGTCGGTTAAACCCCTGTGCTGGTAGGACAGGTTGCAGGTTCGAATCCGGGGAGAGGCAGATGAGCTCCCTCTATCAACTCCAGCTCCTCATGTGGGGACATGAGAGAAGACTCATCAAATCATCTGGGCATCCCCTGGGCAACGTCCTTGCAGATGGCCAATTCTCTCACACCAGAAGTGACTTGCAGTTTCTCAAGTCACTCCTGACACGTCAATAAATAAATAAATGTCAGTGTCACACCTTTTTAGATGTGCATCATTTTGCGACACAGTAATTCAGCTCTACTAGCAGACCAGCAGTTTAAATCAACCTCTTATTTATACGAGACATGGACAAACACATAAATTTTAATAAGGGGAATGTATGAAGACACAATATATCTCACAAAAACCTTTCATTTATATTCAGTTTAAAATATATGATTTGTAAGATAAAACACATTTCCAGGATTTTTGCCTTTTCTTGTTACGTTTGCGTGACACACCTCCAAACTGGAGCCGACACAGCAGCGTGTTGTGGCACGTGGTTTGGAAAGCTCTGTTCTAGTCCTTACTGGGTCATGTAGATGACGAGGCATTATCATAAATATGTAAAAGATGTGACGATGAAACATTTATGGGTCTTTAACTCTAGGGGACGCCGTGTGCCATCCATAACCAGTGTGAGTATGTGGGTACCTGCTCAGTGGCAGCTGATGTGCCTGACTTCATACGTTTTTGAAATATGGAAAGGCAATGCTTAACCACTTTCAGGTAGCAACACAGAGCACTCTCTGAAGCTAGTCTTGGAAGGGGGCGGGGGAGCCTTGCACGTGTGCCTACATCTTCCCAGTTTAGCACATGTTGTGAGCAAACACTTACATAGGGCTCTTAGTCACAGAGTTGACAAATATAGCACACTGGATAGAAATACATCTCAATATGCATCCCCACGCACATTCTGTCTCGGTAACCAGGTATATTTTTGTAAGACGAGCATGATCAGGACAAAGACTATCACAGTACAACAAGACGGCCTGGCCAATGGGACACGATGCTCTTCTCCCCCCTCGCTCCCCATATCAAAGCGGCACAAAAAATCTGCTCTCTATTATATCAAGTTCGACTGAGCATATAATATCAAACTTATTACACAACTATCCGTCCCCTGCCACACGTTGCTGTGACCCACTTTGGTGGTCATGGGGGTTCTGTGTGGGAGGTTTGGCCCAGTTCTATCGTTGGTGGGGTTCAGAATGATCTTCTTCTTCTTCGTCCTCCTGTTCCAGCTGGCCATCAAGGAGGAGGAGGAGGAAGAGGAGAAGGGGTGTTGCTGCAGTTTCTTCTCTTCTTCCACCTTTTCCTCTTCCATGGCCAGTTGGAGGAAGGAGGAGGAAGAAGAGGAGAAGGGCCGCTGCTGCCTTTCTACCCCCCCTCCTCCAACTGGCCATTGAAGAGGAAGAGGAGGAAGAAGAAAAGAAACCCAGCAGCGCCCCTTCTCCTCCTCTTCTTCCTCCTCCTGTTCCAGTTGGCCATCGAGGAGGAGGAAGAAGAGG